TTCGAGAAAATAAAACATACTCAAACATTGACAAGAAGTTTTGTGTATACCCAAACATACAGCAACAACTCAAACATTATCCAGAAGTTTTTTTCTATTCTCGAGAAGCCGTCCGAACCTTCTGAGAAGGCTTTCTCCTTCTCACTTCCCCCCCTCGCTTGCCGTCGACCATCAAGACATGACGTGCAAGCCGTGGCCTCTGAAGTGCGGCGCGTAGGCGTGATTACCCACGCCGTAGCCACAGTGCCGTGCTCCCCGCGGCTGGGAACCATCGCAAGTCGCTCGAGCCGTTTGTGGTCGTGCTGTCTCGGTTCGGGGATCTTCTGACCTGGGTCAATCCAAACCCGGGTCAATCAGGCCTTGCAAAATCCAGCAGGATCCTGCACCTAGACCCGGGTCAGTGCGCCCCTGGCCCTGCAGGAATCCTGCAAGATCCGTCGCTTTTGCTGACCCCCGTCTGCACTGACCCCCGCCCCTTGAGCCCCGATCAGTTCGGCCGCTGCCCGGATCTGGTGCTGCCCGGCGTCGGCGTCGCGGTGCACGGGCGAGGCGCGAGGGGAGGAGGAGGAGGAGGAGGAGGAGGAGGAGGAGGAGGAGGAGGAGGAGGAGGAGGAGGAGGAGGAGGAGAGGAGGAGGAGGAGGAGGGGGAGGGGAGGAGAGGAGGAGGAGGAGGAGGGAGGAGGAGGGAGGAGGAGGAGGAGGAGGAGGAGGAGGAGGAGGAGGAGGAGGAGGAGGGAGGAGGAGGAGGGAGGAGGGAGGCGCACAGGAGGGGAGCGGCGCGGTACAGGGCGGCCGTCGCCGCGCGGAGGATGCGTGCCCCTCGTCGCTCCGGCGCTGCGCCTCGTGCTGCTCTGCGGCTGCGCTCGTGGGCTCCTGCAGGTCGTGCGCTGCGAGCGACGTCGAGTGCCCAGGGCGTCCCCGCCGATTCCGAACAGTGCTACGGCAGGTTCGTGTCGTCTCGACCCCAAGTCTGGTTCCTGACACCGCGGAGATCGTTCAACCTTGAACGATCGGCCGTCCTCGAGACGTCAGATCGTTCAACCTCGACTGATTCTGGGTCGCCAGCGGCATTCAACGTTGAACGCTGGCGGCGCGGTCGCCGCCGGTCGACAGGACGCTAACCTACTGTACGTAGGATTGCCCGCGATTGTTCTGAGAATCGCTTGTGACTTCAGATTCAAGGTGCTGTCGTCGTTCCTCCTTCGGGCGACCTGGTTGCGACATTCGAGGCCCGATGCCATCTGTCTCGAATTAGTGTTGCCGTTCAGTATGATAGCCTGCCTGACGAGCTGGTGTGTCTTCCACTCTTGCCATCCTTCGTATCAACGAGACGGGATCCGTCTCTGGATGCCTCCCAGGCACCACCATGCACCGCAACATCTTTAGATGAAAAAGAGGGTGGCTCCAATGGAGTACTGAAAAGATGCCGTGGCGAAGACACATGCGCTGCTATCCACAACGCCAACACGTTCGGGCCAGGTTACTGTCCAAAAGAGCAGAGGTGATGGTGACAATGCACGCTGCAGCGATGCTTGGGAGAGGGATTGACGCACCAGTGGCAATTTTGATTATACACGCATCAGCCACTGTGCACCCTGGCAAGTTGAGACGTGGTAGGATGTCAAGGGCTGTCTGGTAGAGCTTCTGTCATCATCTAAGCGCCCCGACCTTTTCGTCACACCCAGCTGCGTACATCCCCCCTTTGACTCGTAAACACTGTGTATCCGTGCTTCTGAGGCCACGATCCCTCGCAAACAACGTTGCATCCACGCTCTCGAAGCCACGACACTTTGAAACCACATCCGCCGACCCGGTCGGCGTGTGAAGGGCTGGGCCGTTCGAGTCGTCCTCTCCGTCATTCGTTTCGTTAGTCGTCGTCTCTGCTGACTCCTTCCCCTGCGGCCCCCATTTCCCTGGGCCCGTTGCCACTCTCCCCCTTTTCCTGGGCCGTCTTCCCAAGCGCGCCAGCCAAAACGAAATTGAGTAACGTCGTAATTCAATCGAAGGGAAGCTCCCTCCTTTTGATCTCTCCCCCGTCGTAATTCAATCGAAGGGGTTTCCCCTCCTGTTGATCCCTCCTCCGCCAGGGGTGGAAGTCTGGGAGGGGGGTAGTGCGAGTGAGATACGACTCCCTGGAGGGGGTGGGGGAGGCTCTGGGGGGGGGGGGGGTCGCCACCCAAATATGGATCCCTACTGGGGGGTCCCGGTCCCCAAAAAATCAACAGGACGGGCCAAGAGTGCCCGAAGAGGCCCCTAAGACGGTCCAAAAAGGCGCTGCATCGCCGTACGATCACGGCGTCCTGAAGGCCCAGGATGCCTGCAAAACGCTCCCAGAGGCCTCCATAAGCAGTCCCAAGAAGGCCCCCAGAAGTAATTCATGAATTTCCTTTCGGTTTTTGCAAGCGTTTGGCGTCCTCCCCTTTCCGCTCCCCTACTCTATACGACGGCCCCAGAGGCCCCCACGATCGCCCGAACACGGCCCAAAATGCTCCCAGACGTTCCCACAACGGCCAACGAGGGCCCCAAGACGGCTCGAGACGTCTCCAAGAAAGGTCCAGCAGCACCCAAGACGGTTCCAAGAGCGTGCCAAGACGGGACACCCGAACGGACATCTCGAGCCCTCGCCCCCGAGAAGCTCTCAGGCCTCAAGAGGCCTCCACGACGCCCCCAGGAAGCCCCTAGGCCCCCAAGAGGCTCCCAAGAGGCCCCCCAAGAGTCTCCCATAACGCCTCCAAGCTGCCCACCAGAGGCAACCGAAAGCGCTTCGAAGAGACCTCCTACAAGCATCCCCTCCGTCCCCTGCTCCTCACCCTCCTCCTCCTGTTCCTCAGCCTCGTCTTCATCGTCCTCCACCTGCTCATTGCCATTCTCGACCTCCTTCTGCCCAAACTCCCCCTCCTCACCCTCCTTCGCACGCTCTTCCTCATCCTCCCCCTCCTGCTCCACGGCGTCCTCCTCCTCCTGCTCCTCCTGCTGTTCCTCTTCCTCCTCCTCCTCCTCCTCCTCCTCCTCCTTACCCTTTCTCTCCCCCTCATCCCCCTCCTCCGCATCCTTCTCATCATTCTCATCCTCCTGATCATCCTTCTCATCATGTTCCCCTCCTCCCCCGCGTGCTCTTCTCCCGGTGCCCCGCAACCTTACCTCGACCTCGTCCTTTCCATCCTCCTCCTCTTCCTGCCCCTCCTGCTCCCCCTCCTCCTCGTCCTCCTTCTTCTCCTGCTCCTCCGACTCCTATTCTCCTCGTCCTCCTACTGCTCCTTCCCCCCACTCCCCCTGCCCCTGCTCCCACTCCTCCTCCTCCTCCTCCTCCTCCTCCTCCTCCTCTCCTCCTCCTCCTCCGCATCCCCCTCCTCCTCCTCCTCCTCCTGCTCCACTGCGTCCTCCGCCTCCTCCTCCTGCTCCTCTTCCCCCTCTTCTTCTTCCTGCTCCTCCTCCTCCTCCTCCTCTTCCTCCTCCTCCTCCTCGTCCTCATCTTCAGGGTCGGCGGCACCAGCCGTACAGCCTTCACACTATGGATCCGCGCTCCCAAAGCCACGATACCTCGTAAATAAAAGCCATGGATCCGCGCCCCTGAGCTTCCGAGACGGCCGCGGCAGGTAACCAAGGCAGCCAAGACTACCCAAAGGCTGCCCACGATTGTCTCAGGACGGCCCAGGAGGCCAACACATGTTGCTTAAGAGGGCCACAGGGGGACTCCCAGCGGGACCCGAACAAACTAAACTTACCTTTTCGGTCTCCCTTCTGCTCCCGACGGTCCTAGAAGGATTCGATACGGCCAAGGAGGACCTCCAAATGGCCAGAGGGACCCGACAAAAACCCAACTTACCTTTTCGGTCTCCCTTCTGCGCCCGACGGGCCCAGAGGGACTCGACACGGCCGAGGAGGACCCCCAAATTGCCGGCAGGACCCGACAAAAAACCAAGCGTACCTCTTCGGTCTCCCTGCTGCGCCCGACGGGCCTGGAGGGACCCGACACGGCCGAGGAGGGCCCCCAAATGGCCAACTAATCATCCAGGACGACCTCGAGGACCCCGCGCGGCCCCAAGAGAGCCTCGCGCTGGCCCACGAGGGCCGCTGGCCAGGGGCCCCAACCCAAATAAGGATAAGAAGCCCCCCAATGGGCCCCAAGAGGCCCCCACGAGACCCCCAAGACGCCCCAGGAGGCTACCACGAGGCTCCCAGGAGGCCCCCAAGAGCCTCCCAAGAGGCCTTCGCACTACCCCCAAGATGCACCCGAGAGCGCTCGTCTTCGTCGTCGTCGTCGTCGCCATTCAGGGTCGGCGGCACTGGCCGTCAGGTGTTCGCAATGATCATCCAAGACGACCTTGAGATCCCAGCGCGGCCCCAAGAGAGCCTCGCGCTGGTCCATAGAGGGCCGCCGGAGGGAGGGACCCAATACGGCCCAGTGAGCCTCTCGACGGCCCCACGACGGACCCAAGAGACCGCCCAGAAGGCCCCAAGATGGCCCAAGAGAGCCCCTCGGCCCCAAGATTGCCCAACGTGGCCCACGGGACTCCCAATATTATCCACGAGCCCAAGGAAAGGACGGAAGAGAGGGAAGAGGACGACAAAGACGAGAGGAGAGCCCCGACACGATGCGACATGTTGTGGCACATGTTACGGCCCTCCCAGGCCTCGGGACGCGCGGTGCCACACGTTAATTACGGCCTCCAGTGCGCCCACCCGCAGTCCCCACCCAAGGTGCTGGGTTGGCACGGTGGCGGGACTTGACGCAGGAAGCTGGACACATGTATCTGTTAGGGAGCCCACGAAGGACGTACGCGCCCGACTATGTACATGAACACGGCCCCTCGATCCGCGAGACCCGCCGCGTGATACGAACATTCGCGCAATGCGTACTCTCGAAACCAGCGTGGATTCATGTACGTGTACGTCCTTCTTTCACTCCTGATCTATAGATCTCATGCCAGAGGTGGGCGTGCAGACGGACTGATATCGAGCCTGCCTGCTACTCCCGCCCCCTGGTTCCAAGGGGCACGCCGTAACGAAGAAGTTGTCCAGCTTCTTGGGCAAAGACGTGTCGTGCGCCTGCCACGTGCACAGTGATGCAAACACGTGTCGCCTCGGACTCTGCTTACACCACAAGCCAGCCTCACGCTCGACGTACCTCTCTCACGCGGTCCCCACTTCCTTCGATGGTTCGCTGTCTCTCTTGGTCTCTCTCTCTCTCTCTGTCTCTCTCCCTCTCTCTCTCTTTTCCTCTCTCTCCCTCTCTTCCTCCCCTCGCTCTTTCTGTCTGTCTCTCCCCTTCCCTTCCCTCTCTCTCTCTGTCTGTCTGTCTGTCTCTCTCTCTCTCTCTCTCTCCCCCGTCTCCCTCTCCCTCTTCTTTCGCCTCCCTCCAACCCGTATCTCTGACACACTTACACTGAACTCCTTAACACCCCATTTGCATTACTTCATCGGGTAACGCGCAATCTGGAGAAGCGGCGAGCTGGGCTACTAGTCAGACGTTACCAAAACAACACAACGAACCGAATCATAGAACATTACGGCTTTTTTCGAACACCGATGGACCAGAGACATTGGTAACCCCCGCGAGGCAGAACCAAGGGGTCGGATACGATGACCCAACGCCGTGCAAGTGCTTGTGCAAACCAATCACGCTGCTTCTGCATCAAAACCAAGAACTCCATTCAGCCTTCGCGACATGACGCCACCGGGCTCTGCCAATTGGCCCGTGCACTGGGGAAACCAAGAGGTACCAATACCTCTACTCCCGGGACCTCTCCCAGGGTGCGGTCGGACCAGGATTTGGAGGCGAATCCAGCGGAGGTGACGAGGGCCTCGCAGGAGGCTCCAGAAAGGGAAGCCAGGCGAAGGGACGCACGCGGCGCGACAAGATCGGCGCCCCCGTGGATCTGTGAGCTTCCTGAACCATCCGGCCCCAAGCCCTTGCCGTCCCTCGGATTCCCCTTGCCGTCGCTCGGATGTCGGATGTACTCGCAAGCTGACCTCACGTGCTCCTCGACGAGCCCTGCCGAGCAAAGGTGGGCACCTCCGAGCGATGCCAAGAGCTGCGCGCTGCGCGCTGCGCGACGCATGGCGCGCACGTGGCTGCGCGCGGCCCCGGCAGGGGGGCATCGCTCTCCCGCTCAGTGCCGCGAGGCGCGACCGCCCCTGCGGCCCATACGGGTGGCCCTCGCCCAGCGACTCGCCATCGCTCGGACGTCCATGGAGAACCATGGAGAACCTTTCAATTATACTGAAATGGCATGGCGCCTAAAAAAGATCGGGGATCTGGGCATCCAGAAATATTCTACCTTGTGAACGTTTCTTATTCGGCGTTTCGACATTGGGCCGAAGGGGGAGGGTCTGGCCCTGGACCTCTGCTTAAGGCGACTGGTTGCAGCAGTGCGTCCTGCGGGGGAGACTCCGCCTGCTTGAAGCAGACGCCCAAAACAGGCAGGATCCACCTCATGGGGTGGGTGGGAGGGCCCGCGCAAATCGGCAAAACAATGAATACGAATATCACCATGCACCGTGCCTTATACGATTTCGGGCAACTTCTCCCGCAAGACAATCCAAGATGCTCCTCGATGGCACCTGTCGAGAGAGAGAGAGAGAGAGAGCGCACCCGTCCGAGCGATGCCGAGCTTGCCCAACAACCCACAGAAGTCGCCGACGCAGATCCGCCGAAGACTGCCCCCCAGTCCGCTCCCGTGGCCCATCCAGGCCAGCCGAGGCAGCCCTCAAGAAGACGCACGCGCCCAACCACGCACGTTGATGTGCCCCCCCCGTTCGCAAGGCCGCCCTCGCTTCACGAGCGCTCGCGCGGTGATGCGTTCTGTCGAAATCCATGTGACTTCGTCTACGCACCCGTCGGTCGGAAGACGTGGGCAACAGCACGAAGTAGGAACGTGTTGAAAGTATATTGGATTTCCGCCCGCCCCTTGATGAGGGAGAATCATGGAGAACCTTTCAATTACAGAAATTGCAAGGCGCCTGAAAAAGATTTGGGATCTGGGCATCCAAAAATATCTAACTTGTGAACTCTTCTCGAAACCAGCGTGGATTCATGTGCGTGTACGTTTAAGTCGGGCGTGTCCCCCTACAAGGGGATTTTCGACGAAAAGTTTAAAATACTAAAAAAATCGCCAGCCCAACGGGCCAGAGGCGTGCTAGGATCTTCGGTAACTACTTAACAATATTTCTAGTTCGCGCGCGCGGGGCGGCCCCTGGGGGGCCCCGGACGAAAAAAGTACCCCGGCCGATCCCCGGCCGGGGGGGAAGCTATTTTTCGCCACCCCTCACGAGGATCGTGGCCTCCGAGGTGGGGGCTGCAATCGTCGACTACCCCCCCTCCCGCCCCAAGGGGCCCCTTAAGAGCCTCCCAAGAGGCCCCAGGGGAGCCCAATACGCCGCCAAGGAGCCCCAAGACGCTCCCAAGAAACCCCCAAGAAGCCCCCAAGACGGCCCCAAGAGGCCCCAAATAGCGCTCTGGGGCCGACGGAATGAGCGAAGCGATCAAATACCCCAAAATGACACAAAAAATAGTCCCACGACTATTTTTGGACTATTCTTGAAGATTCCCCCTGTGGAGGGACACGCCCGACTTCAGTGTACGTCCTTCTCCCGCTCCTGCTATGCAGCGCAGCTCACCGCGCCGAGCAACCGCACCGCGCATCTGGCGTGGCACCAGCGGTGCCCGAGGGAGACGGGTCCCGGAACCCAGGGGGCCTCCACACCGGACCCCGCCAGTCTCCCCGATCCCTCCGGGGCCCGTGGCGGGCCCCGGGAGCCTGGAAACGGCCGAGACGCAAACTGGGGAGCGTGTTCTTATTCGCTGTTTTCCCGATCGGCGCGGGCCCTCGCACCCCCCCTTCCCCCCCTGGAGTACAGTCGGACTTCATTGGACAGGTCGCGCGAGAGGACACAAGACTCTTCCGATGGCCACATTGCTGTAGGAATGCAGGAGGCACGGGTCGCGAGGCACAGGACACAAGGATACCCTTGATTTGGCAGGGTCGACCTACTAATCTGGGCCGACTGTAGACTTGGCTGTTCTGGGCGCCTGTTTCAAGCAGGTGGGGTCTCCCCCATAGGACGCACTGTTGCAAGCAGTCGTACGAAGCAGAGGTCCGGAGCGAGAACACCCCCCTCCCCCCCTCTTTCGCCCAATGTCGAAACGCCGAATAAGAAAACGTTCACCTGGGCCGGGTCAGGGTGGCAAACCCGTTCTCTCCAGCATCGTGAGTCTCCAATCTGGGGCCCTGGTTCCCCCGATGCAATCCTTCGCGCTGTCATGCACTGCGCACCGCGAGCCGCTTTGTGCGTGGCTCCTGGGCCCGAAGGCAGGCCCTGGGGACGGACCCAGCCCCAAGGAGACCGCGGGGGCCCCAACGCGCTGCGGTGACGCAAGCGCTGCGGTGACGTCGAAATCTCCAAGGACCTCATCGCAAGCTCCGTGACCGCACGGCCTTGGGACTCCGAGACATCCTCGGTGAATGATGGGCCTGTTTTCCACCACCACCACCAGAAGTTGGAGGGGGGAAAGAGGTGGAGGACGAAGAGGAGGAGGAGGAGGAGGAGGACGAAGAGGAGGAGGAGGAGGAGGAGGAGGAGGAGGAGGAGGAGGAGCAGGAGGAGGAGGAGGAGGAGGAGGAGGAGGAGGAGGAGGCCCCCCCCTTCCAACTTATGGTGGTGGTGGTGGAATGAACGACCCAAATCCCAAACCGTGCGGTCACCCCGAGGCCCCACTGATCCACCACACGGTGCGGTCGCCCCACCGTTTGGGGGCCCAAACTCAAGGAATCTTCGAGTAGGGATCGACTACGACATCGATCTGCCCCAACATGGCTTTTCTCGTCGAAGCTAGCAGCATACGTATCATGTTCGCAGATCTGCAAACATTCTAGGTAGTCTTTGGTAGACTCGACGAGGACATCAATCTTGGGGCACCTCGATTTTACGCCCGATCCAGGCACAACATCGGATTTCTGCTCGAAATCTGGGCCGCCCTGACTTCTCTCCAGGATGCCGCGAGGTCACGGGAAGGCGACACTGACCCAGGCATCCGACGGTCAACCAAAAAAGAACAGGGCCGCGGGGGCCCTACAGGCCCTGGTCCTTCCCTTGGGGGGGGGTGCAATGTTTCGTCCTGGCTCTTCGAGTTTGACCTCAGGGCGCTCGAAAAAGCGCCGCTCCCCTCCCGAGTCCAGAGAGGCAGGACTTGATTCAAAACTGTAGGATTGCGCAGATTAATCAATCTTAGCAGGGGACATGTCGACCCCTATCCCAGGCTTCTTGGGGTCTTCGAATGGGCCAACAGTTTGAGGGGCCCAACCCTGGGATATACGGTGGGGGGGGTGCCATCCTCAATAGGGGTGCGTTCGAATAGCCCCCTTGGGGTGTATCCCAGGGCTCCCCTCTTTTTCTGAGCCCGTTCTTTTCTTGTTGTCGACACGTCGTGGGGTCGGGGAAGAAACATCGCCCGCGATCTAGGACTCAGCAGACCAGTCAACCTGGAGTCCAGGAAGGGACGGCGGCGCATCGTCGGAGAAAGGGGGGCTGTCCACAAAGTTGAACAGGAGGTTGACTCCCGTGCCCGCCTCGCGGAGCCGGGCGCGGCAGTGGCACCGCCGGGCGCCGCTGACGTGCTCGTGACAGTTCGCAATAGGGGGAGGGCAGGAGGCGGGGGCAGGGAAGGGGAGAACAGAGAACGGCGGAGGTCCTCCTCCTCATGGTCCTGCGCCTCGTCTCTCATCCCTTCCTCCTCAGCTTCTCTTGCCCCGAACTCTCGAACACGCCAACGCGCAGTCGCTGGAGCACATCGTTCTACACAGGCGAATAATGTATGGAAGCTGCGCCAAACTTCGTTTCGCGCTTCCGTCCCGACAATGGATAACCAACGCATCTGCGTTGTTCATGTCGCACCTTGTAGACTATCAACATAATGGATTGGAGGCGGTTTGTCACTTTGGTCGAGAACCGGTCGCGGTAGACGATCGATACTTTATGATGTTTCATCACTACTGAGGCAGCGTTGACGGCTGATGGCGCATGCGACGCTGACAGCCGAAGTTGGACAGCATGTTGATTTGGCTTCGCTGGCGCGTTCAGCTGGCCGATCAAGCGTGGCATCGAAGCGAGCTGGCATGGCAGCTCGCAGTTGCGCCACGCATTGCGTGTGACCTACGGGGAGCACGACGAGGACCAGGGAAAATGAGGCAACCAGCGCCTACTCACTAACACGTGGCCCAAGACCATTCATGCTAGAAGCCGCTCACATCGGCTGGATTTCCCTCGAGGGCTCCCAAGGAAGAACGTAACGATGGGGGCACTAAGCGCGAAACGCCCCAACTAGCCTACGCGTTCACACTATCGTCAAACACCTTCATATTCCTCCATGCTAGAATCCGCTCAGATTGGCCCCACCAAATAGCCTTTCCGATTCGTCAATACGGGTCCAGCTGTGACGACGAGGCCCCCCCCCCTGCCCCAGTAGCAGCAAGCAACAACAAAACACTCAGAGTCAGGGCCGAACAGTAATCTCGACGAGCCTTGCTGCGCGTTTACCTCGAATGGGGGGGAACAGTTACGCTGATGGCACGACTACAATCGAAATCTATAGTAACGACGGGCGGTAATGACGCAGAGACCTTTGACGCCGAAATTGGCACTTCTTGGGCGGCGGGCTGCCACCACCCTGAAGGGCCGGCCAGTGAAAACCGCGAAGGACGGGCCGCAGAGGCAAGGGCGGAAGGGCATCCTTAAGGACATCTGTAGTCCTTACTACGAATTTTGATCGTACACAAGCCACCCAATGTCTCGCTTCGCGCTGTGCGGCCGATGATCACACTCGCGCCTGTGAAATCGTTCCCGTCCGTCCCCGTGGCACCCCGCATACAGATTGCTCCCACACCGCTGACTCGTTCCAACTTTCTCTGATGGGTTTTCCCGGTGCCGGCACACGACAACAGGAATTCCAGAACATCCAACATGTCAAACATTCAGGATATCTTGACCCCGCTCCCATGGTTACTTTTTCGCGCGCGCGCAGGATCAACAAATCTAACACCATCTCGCGAAAACAAAGGAAACGGACCGGCTTTGATCCCAACTCGAATTCTTTCCCCATTGTGGGTAACGCGTCTCACGGGGAAGGGGGTAGTCGGCAGGAGGATGAACGCAACGGCGGCCGCGGCGTGCACCCCCAAAGCGTGCCCGCAGCACCGGCGCAACAACCGTAATTACATCATGGCGCCTGTGCACACCACAGCGGCCACGCGCACCACAGCGTCACTGTACACCACAATGCCTGCGTGCACCACAACGCCTGTGCAGACCACAGCGCCTGTCGATATCACAAAACCACGCGCTCAACAACAGCGCCTTTGCGTAACAGGGATGGACAATAGTAGCTGTGCACAACAATGGTGCGCCACGCATGCCCAAACCACGTGCACAGCGCCTGTGCACACCACAGCAGCCATGTGCACCGCAGCGCCTGTGTACACCACAGTGTCTGCGTGCACCACAGCGCCTGTGCACATCACAGTGCACGCGCACCACCACGCCTGCGTGCACCACAACCTGCTGCAGCAGCGGCAACAATTCGCCCCAAACCAACTCAATGTCTGTGTGCACCTCAGCGCCTGCGAACCTTCGGAAGCGTCCGGGCCACGTCGGCCGTTGGCGTCGTCTTCCCCCATCTCCTCCGCGCGTCCTACTGGCCCCCTCCTCCTTTCTCCTCCCCCTTTCTCCTCCTCCTCTTCCTCCTCCTCCTCCTCATATTCCTCCATCTTCTCCCTCTCCCCTCCTCCGCGCATTTCAGCGGGTGGCACTACAGATTCCTGTCAGGATCCGTTGGAGCTGCTTGGGGGGCCCTACAACATCCTGTGGGAACTGCAAGAACTCGGCCGCTTTCGCGGGCTACCGCTACGCGGGGGGGAAGGGAAGTAGTAAAACAACGATCTCTGAAGGTCTGCGCGAATTCCCTGATCACTCCTTTGGTCAAGCTGGCCCACCGTATGGTCGCCGCAGGCGTCTGGCCTCGTGCGCGGGGCGCGCATTGGGTCACGCGTCCGCGCAACAGCAAAGCTCAGAGCGGCCCCGACAGGCACCGCGGTATCCAACTCACTGCTGATGTATTCCTCGCTTGAAGCGCATCGGAGATTGCGGCGACGACCAATTTGCTTACAAGAAAGGGGGCTCGATGCGCCCGCGATTCTGTCCTCCGTGTCGTGCTTCGCTGCTTGAGTGCATCGGTACTTGGTCGCCGCGTTTCCCAGTCTTGCTCAGGCGTCTGTCGGGCACTTGACACGGTCCATCGCGCGATGCCCCTCGCCAAGCTCCACAGCTTCTCGTTACGCCCCGCGGATATGCGCAAGGCTGACGAGTTGGCTAGCTACACGAACTGCACAAGTCATTGAGCTGGGCCATGCCTCCAGGCTGGCACCCACGGACAAGCTTATGCACCAGGGCAGAGTCCAACGCCCCCTACTTCGATTGATATTCGTCGCCGTTGCGTGTCTGGCCATTCGGGCAGCTGCTTTCGAAGAAACCAGCTGCTGGCCAGACTTTGCTCCACCATTAGGGGCGCGCTACTTGCGTCCAATTGATGGCAACACAAAAAGCCAACGCATAGAGTCAAGTTCCCAGCCTGCGGGTGTCAACTTTCTGGGCGCGCAGGTCGATACAAACTAGCGCGTCCGCCGCGTCATTCCCAATACGTGGGTCGACAACCAATCGCAGGTCGACCCACGTATTGGGAATGACTCGGAACACACTTGCGCGACAAGCTGAAAATTCAGCAGATCGCTACGACGCTCCCTAGCTAGCGGCTGTGGGGAGGAAGCCGGCCTAGCTGAACCTGCAGGCTGTTTTCATCTCTAACGCCCGTATAAGTATCTCAAGAGATTATCCGGGATCTTTCTGCTCGACTCTGTCTTTTCCCTTCCTTTCCTCAGGAAAGTTGTTTGCGACCCACGGGCTTGGGAAGCGCTGCCGAAACGCGGACTAGGACCTGCGCGCGAGTGGAGGAACCGCAGCGAAAGAGCCGCGCAAACGCTTGCGGCCCACGTGTTGGGAACGCGCAGGGAACCGCTTGCGGGACACACTGTAAATTCTAACAAATTGCTGCCTCGTTCAGCGTGCTGGCTGTTTCTCTGACACCCGTATACCTCTCTCAGGGAGCTATCGGGAAACTTTCTGCTCGACTATCTTTTTGCCCTTCCCTCCCTCGCGTCGTTGGTTTGTGACCCACGGGCCTGGGAAGCGCTGCCCTAGGCGTTGCCTCGGCGCTGCTAGGAGCTGGCTGGGACCTGCGCGCGAGCTCACGAAGCGAGTGGAGCTGCGCAGACGCTTGCGGCCCACGTCTTGGGAACGAGAAGGAACACGTTTCCGGGACAACCTGCTGGCAGGATGCAAACCGCTGCGACGATCCCTGGCCGGCAGCCGAGGCGGGGAAACTTGCCTGGCTGGGCCAGGCGGGTTCTTCTCTAGAACCCTCTCAGCTGTTTCAAGAGCTATCCCGGAATGGCGAATACGGTCGGACCTAGCCCAAAAAAGCATCCTTCAGGAACGTGAGACCCTCCGCCGGCCGAAGCACACAGAGCATCCAAGGGTCACCCTCCCCAGGATGCACAAGAACACCCAACAAACACGAAGAACATTAGGGTGTCCTCCCCGAACCGACCTCGATCGTATCCAGAAGGAAAACGCCATAAACATAAACTTTTGGGCGCTCCGCGCGGCTTTCATGGATCCGCGCTGGGAGCGCCCAAAAGTTCATGTTGATGCCGTTTTTCCCTCTTCGATGATCCCTCGGTCCGACTGGCGGCGGCGCGAACGTGGAAGCGGCTCCCCCTCCTCCTCAAACTGCCCCCCCTCAGTGGCAACTCATGGGAGTCTCCCATACCATCTTGTCGGCTTTTGCGAATCGAGGCTGGTCGACGCTAGTCGACGCTCATCGACGCTAAATCGACGCTGAATCGACGCTAATCGAAGCTGACCGACGCTAACTCGGCGCTATCTCATCGACTCCCAGACGCTAATCAATGCGAGTCGACGCCAAAGACGAAATCAAGAAAATATATCAGGCTCCCCTGATTTGCTACTGCACTCCCCTCCCACATCCGCCTCATTCCTGGCCCAGCCTTTCTTCCTCCTCCTCCGCCTCCTCCTTCTCCAGGCCCTTCTTCCCGCTCGTTCGCTCGCACGCTTGCTAATGCCACCTGAGGCGCCGAAACGACGGCAAGCTTCCAGATGGGGTGTGGTCCGCGCGGAGACGACAACATTCTCAACCAGGGACGGGGCCAACGCTGAGGCTGGGACACCGTTCTCCCTTACGGACGTGGGGGAGCTGAAACGAAAACACCGCTCCCAAACAGGAATGTGGGCGTCGCTGAGGCGACAACACACTCCATGCGATTATGGGGCGACGAATCAATACTTTCCAGCGATCTGTGTTTCTGCCGAGGCGCCAGCGTCGGGACATTCAGAACGACTTAACAGAACCGACTGCACCACTTTCCTTGAAGAAGGGCAGCTCTCCAGGCGCAAGAGACCCACAGAACGTCGCTCCCCTTTCGAAGGCAATTTTGTCCCAATCCCAAGATGTCCCATGCAAGCCAGAAGCGCTGTCATCTTACGATGCACAAGTGACATGCGCGTAATGCTTTCGGAAACTAATCGGGAATTTGCCCTGTGACGCGTTGTTCGCTTCCGCTTGAATTTGTGTTGGTCCCTCAGATGGCGGCCTCGCTCGGCATGTTGTGTTTGCCGGCGCTCTGCAACAGCACATGCAACACTTGTTAGGTCAATGCTCTCTGCAATCTTGAAGTTTGTTCCGCACTAATCGTTCGGAGGAGGGGGAGAAAGCGAACAGAGAGGACGCATTGGCATGACCGACGTCCCGCTTGTCAGCGGACACAGCGTGGAAGCCGTCGAACTGTAGGCACGGACTGCGCATCATCTGGGCACGCCCCAAGCAATGCACTCGTCGAACTGACGCCCCGCTCCGCCCACTGCTCGTCCACTGCCTCCCCTTTCTCCTCCTCCTCCTCCCCCTCCTCCTCCTCCTTCATCCTTCTCCTCCCTCATCCTTCTCCTCTCCTCTCCTCTTCCCTCCGCCTCCTCCTCCTCCTCCGCCGCCCCCTCCTCCTCCTCCTCCTCCTCGTCCTCCTCCTCCCTCCCTCCTCGCTCCTCGCTCCTCGCTCCTCGCTCCTCCCTCCTCCTCCTCCTCCTCCTCCTCCTCCTCCTCCTCCTCCCCCTCCTCCTCCTCCCCCTCCTCCTCCTCCTCCTCCTCCTCCGTACATGGGCCCTGGGCACGGGCGGCGGCACGCCGCCTGGACGTTCACGCGCCCCACGTGCCCCTGCAGCCCGTTGCGCTCCGGGGACACCGCCGCGTACTTGCTGCCGTCGCCCTGCTGGGCGGAGGCGGCTGGCGTTAAGGAAGGGCAGCGAATATCGGGAGCGGCCAAGAGGGGGGGGTGTCCAAAAGGGGTTGTTGCAAATCATGACCAGCGGCATGTGCGCGGCCCAGCGGGGGGGCCAGGGACGTGATGAAATAAGAAGAGGCGCCATGAGATCTGGGGAAATATCATGGCCCCCGCCATGATATCCACCCCCCCTAGTCATCACCCCCCTCTTTGCCGCCCCCGAGAATAGGGGGGGATAGGCATAGGGGGGGATGCATCGACCCGGAATCGGCGATACATCGTCGATGGATCGGCGGTATGCCTCCGATAGTGACTGCGCACCTTCCCGGGCAGGTTGGGGCCATCGGGCCCCCATCGGCGATCAATGGGCGATTGGGGGTCGATGCCTCCCCCCCCATGCCTATCCCCCCCTATCGTTGTCCCTGAGTTAAGTCGTGCCTGTCCCTCTACAGGGGGAATCTTCAAATATATGTCGAACACAGTGTGGGGACGATTCTTTGATTATTTTGTGGCCATTGTTGAATATTTTTGGGCCTTCCGAATTTTTCGTCGAACATCGGCCTGTAGGGGGACATGCCCGACCTATAGCTGGAGGCGAGGGAGGGGTCGCGGAAGCGGAGACTCGGTCGTGATTCGAGCAGGGCCGGGGGTCAGAGGAGCGCCGTCCTCTGCAGGACCACCCGCAAAAGGGACGTCAAGGCGGTCAAACGCCTCGCCGGTGTAGCCGACGAGGACGTGCAACATGCAACCATTCACTTATGCCAAAAGTTTTGGCTCGACGCCGGGTGTGGTGTGTCAGTTTCAGCCTGACCGGACAGGTCGGTTGCGCTCCTTGACGTCCGTTTGGGGTGTTCTGCAGACCTGAGCCCTGAGACGCACTCAAGTCATGATATCCTCTAGCCTTATCTCCACCAGGAACGGCTGCTTCTAGCTTGACGTGGTGGCAGCCCGTAGGGTCACTGCGCCACTCCTTCAAACAAGGATGGACGTACAGTGCAATCTTACAAAGACGCTACAACCAAAGCACGGAGCAGACTGTGGGCAGCCAGCGTGAGCCCACGCAACGCGACGACCTCAGCCGTCGTCACTGTTGACGCCTTTCGAGAGCGGGCCGGCAGTGCGAGCCAAAACCTCCCAAAAGCCGAGATCGTGGCTAGCCAACATCTGCTGGCCAGCTCCGCTCCGGCAGCGCGCCGAAGGGGGAAGTGAGCGGGGGAACACCTTCTAGAAAGACAGCGGGGCTTCTCAGAAGCCCTCCGGTCTTCCGAGAAACACTGTGTGGATTCGGAGAAAGCCCAAACACTTACTCAGAAGGACCGGAGCCTTCCGAACGTTGTCAGCAGGTCCGCCCCTTGGTGGGCCCCGGAGGCGGCAGGACATTCGTTTTGCCCTTTTGGAAAGCCTGCCGTTGGAACATGAACAACTGTACGACAGATTCGCGCTGCCGAGGCCCAGGTGCCTCCAAGACGGCACACGAGGCCTTCGAGGCGTCCCAAGAGAACCCCACGAGCCCTCCCAACAGGGCCTCGACAGAGAAACATTATTGATTCGCCTTAGGTGTTTCATGTAATTTGGATTCTCGCATTTTCGAGCTTCCGACGCTCAGGCCCCCCCACGAGAGCTCCAAGGCAGCCAAATAAGGCCCCACGACGTCCCAAAGTGCGCCCAATACGGCCCAAAAAGGTCCCAAGAAAAGCCCAAGAGGAGGAGCACGAACCGACAATTCGAGGCTTCCGCCCAAAGAGGTCCCAGAAAAAGGGGCCACCAAGAGGAGCCCTCTGAAAGGCCACCCATCATGTATGCTCGTTAGGTTTTTTCTATGTTTGTTTGGGCCTTCCCGAACTTCCGACGCTCCAAGACGACGAGGCCCCCGAGACTGCCCCAAGACGGCCCAAGAGGCCCCCAAGAGAGCTCCAAGACTGCCCAATAGGCGCCCAAGATGGCCCACAGACAGACCAAGAAGGGCCCAATAGTGGGAACACGGACCTAGAAATTCGTTCCTTCAGCCCCAATGAGGCTCCCAACAGGCCCCAGGAATCCAAAAAGAGGCGCCCAAGAAGGCCACGAGAGGCAACTATCATTGATGTTCCTGAGGTGTTCCTATGGATTAGGTGTTCTCGCCTTCTCGAACTCCCGACGCTCCAAGACGCCAATGGGGCTCCAAGGCAGCCCAAAAGGCGCCGAAGACGGCCCAACAAGGCTCCAATATGGGCCCAAGAACCGCACAAGGGGGAACATGAACCGACAGTTTGAGCCCTCCGCTCCAAGAGCCACCCAGGAGGCCCCAGGGGGCCTCAGAAAGGCCCACAAGAGGCCCCTGCACGGCCCCCGACAGGCCCAGCAGAGGCCCCAATACTGACCCAATGGGGTAAATGAGGGCTACTCGAGAAGTTCAAAAGACAGGTGTCGCATGTGGCGGCGTTCCTGCGAATCCGCGAGGAGGAATTGCACGGGAACGATGGATGGTGATGTGTTTGAACAGCAAGGCGTACGACACAATACGCGCCAAATGCCAGCGGTAACGCTAACACCTGACTGCGAGGCGTGTGGCTATGCCCCTCACCTAGTCGCAAGGCCATGTTCTAAGAATTCCTCCTCCTCATAACGTCGTCGTCGTCCTCCTCCTCCTCCGTCCTCTCCCTCTGCTCCTCCACTACCCCATCTCCTCTTCGGCCTTCTCACAGTACTCCTTCTCGCTCCTCCTCCTCCCCTTCCTCCTCCTCTTCCTCCTCCTCCTCCTCCTGCTCCTCCTCCTCCTCCTGCTTCTCCTCCTCCTCCTCCTCTTCCTCCTCCTCCTCCTCCTCTTCCTCCTCTCTCTCATCGTCATCATCATCATCATCACCATCGTCATTCCCCTCCTCCTCATCATCATCATCAGCATCATCATCACCATCATCACCATCACCTTCATTGTCATCCTCAGCATCATCATCAACATAAGCATCATCATCATCAACATCAACACCGACACCATCATGATCATGATCATGATCATGATCATCATAATCATCATCATCATCACCACCACGACCACCGTCATCATCATCATCATTAGCATCATCATCCCAATATTTCTTCAACGCACGCACCAAAACCAAGAGACAGCCACGGTGCCACACGTGTCGGCGTCAAGCACCTTGCTCCCAACACCTCCCAAGACGGCCCTTCGACAAACGCGCCACGTGTTACGGCTCTCCGAAGACAGGAGATACAAGATGTCACAGATTAGAACTTCCGTTCCCCAGCGCGCACAGACCACCGAGAAAGCTGGGCTGGCACGGAACGGGACTCGCCGCAAACAGCTGGATAACGGTACAACTGGATAAAAAATACAAACAAACCCGCGACCGGAAAGAAAACACAAACGGCTACGGGATCGAAGCCAGAACCACAAGCAGGACAAACTGGCGACGGAACCCGTCAAACAATCTGCGCCTGAAATGGCTTTAAAACCTGCAACGAAGAATCGGTAAACCAACTGCCCTTTCCAGGCCCCGCTAAAGTCAGCACCGCGGTTGCACCCTCTGTGCTGGTGGTGACGTGGAGGAGGAGGAGGAGGAGGAGGAGGAGGAGGAGGAGGAGGAGGAGAACAAGCAGGAGGAGGCGGTTGTAGAAGAGGAGGAACAGTTCGTCATGCTGGCATCCCGCTGGGGTTGCTGCTACTCGTCGAGCACCCTGATCTAGGGAACCCACAAAAGACGTACGCGCCCAACCACGTACACGAATCCGGCCCCCTAGTCCGCGAGACCCGCCTCGTGTTTCGAACGCTCACGCAATACGTGCTTTCGAAAACAGCGTGGATTCATGTACGTGAATCGCCATTCTTTCGCTTGCGATGATCCTCCTCCTTCGCGCGACCTTTCCTCTTCCTTCTCATGCACTCAGCATGTTCCTCCTCCTCCTCCTCATCCAGGTCTTCGGCCCTGCTGCTCGTCCTCCTCCTCCATCTTCTCCCTCTGCTCCTCCACCCCCCCATCTCCTCTGCGGAACTCTCGCTGTATTCCTTCTCGCTCCTCCTCCTCCTCCCCACCCGCTTCCTCCTCCTCCTCCTCCTCCTCCTCCTCCTCTTCTCATTCTTTCATGTCTTCGCCCCCTCTCCCTCCCCCACCCCGATATATCCCCCTTTGCCAACGCAGCTCCTCCTCCTCCTCCTCCTTCTCCTCCTCCTCCTCCGCTTCCTCTTTATCATCCCCCTCCTCCTCCTCTTCCTCTTCCTGCACCTCCTCCTCCCTGTGACCCTCCTTCCCCTTATCCACCTCCTCTCTATGTTCTTCCCACTCCTCCTCATCCTGCGTGTCTTCCACCCTCTCCCCCTCCTTCTCACCCTCCTCGTCCTCCTCACCCTCCTCGTCCTCCTCGTCCTCGCCCTTCTCCTCACCCTCATTGCCTCGCCTCATTCTCTCGAATGCGCGCAAGAGTGACCCCAGGCAAGAGTGACCTTCGGTGAACGGCTTCAGGGGCGCCCCTGGGGGCTCAGCGCAACCGCGCAGGCCGTTGCTGTCGCACCGCATGATAAGACGGACGGGACGCGCCAAGAAAGCTCCTTCACTAGAGCGCCAGCGGGTCACGGTGGGATTCCGCCACTTCGATATTCTGGCGCCACGAAGGGTACCCCGAATGCGCTGCCAACGCAGACACTACAGTAATTAGGGGCCCGACCACAAGACACCTTCCACAAGAAACCGAACCCTGAGACCCCAGGACGTCCATTGATTTTCGGTGTGGGAACGTCACGATTTCCATTGCAGAACCATCGAAACCCAGGGCACCCTGGAGGCAAGCAAGGTGTTTCTTGGCATGGGTCTCCTACCGGGCGCCACCACGATGAGGCCTGGCACTGCCCAGCCGCGCCGCGATGCGCCTGAACAAGTCCCCGCGCCGTGGCCAAAACGGGCCCCCATCCCCGCGGCCCACTCGCGGGCGCGAGGAATTTTCAAGCCACCACCGTGCCGCCGGGCACGGGGCGGGCGGGCGGGCGGGCGGGA